AAGGTGTTGTTCTGCTAATTATCTTCATTTAATTATCTCACAATGCATTCATGTATGAAAACACAGTGTATATCATAAATACAGACAACTGCTGTCAATTAGACCTTACTGAGGCTGAAGGAAAATAGGGGTATGTTTTTCAGTAACAAAATTCAAATCACGCCACTTGTCCCCACGCGGCTGAGTGACTGCACCCAGGATGAGTCTGGAGGAGGGGCCGTTCACGGAGGCCAGCACGTGCTCCAGTTCCAGGGCTTTCCAGTGTATTTTAGAGAATCACAAAATACGGTGAGAGAGGTGACCCATTCCAGGTTGGTGGCCAGGTAGTTTACTCTCTTAGAGGCCTTAGTGGGCTGATCATTTAGCTGCTTTATGGGACAGAAAAGGAAGTAAGTTTGAAGGGGAATTTTAAAATACAGGGCCAAGTAATCTCTCACATAGTTATTTTCTCACCTTTTCTCAGTTCAGTGTCCGTGCTATGTGGTGTTTTCTTTATGCTGTTCCTTGGACTGGAACTCTAGAGCCCTGTGCTCACTAGATTCTTTTTTGCTCACAGCCAGTGATCTACCACTCTATCCATGACTCCAGTTCCAGCCTTTTGCTGATTAATTGGAGATAAAAATTTCTCAGGCTGGAAGCCAGGAGCTAGTGGCTCATGCCTGTAATCCTAGTTACTCAGGAAGCTGAGATCTGAGGATCACAGTTCAAAGCAAGCCCAAGCAGAAAAGTCTGTGAGACTCTTATCTCCAATAAACTACTAGAAAACTGGAAGTGGCACTGGGGCTCAAGCGGTAGAGCCTTGCCTTGAGCTGAAGAGCGCAGGGATAGCACCCAGGCCCAGCATTCAAGCCACATGACCAAAAAATAAAATGTCAGGCTAGACATTTGGCAATCAGCTTCTCAGGAGGCCAAGATCTGAGGATCACGGTTCAAAGCCAGGTCTGGCAGGAAAGTCCATAACTTTTATCTCCAATTAACTACCAGAAAACCATAAGTTGCCCATTGGCTCAAAGTGGTAGAGTGCTAGCCTTGAACAGAAAAGCTCAGGGACAGTACCCAGGCCTTGAGTTCAAGCCCCATGATTGAAAGAGAGAAAGAGAGACAGAGACAGAGACAGAGACAGAGAGAGACACAGAGAGACACAGAAAGAGAGAGACAGAGAGACACAGAGAGAGAGACAGAGAGAGAGACAGAGAGAGATTGATTTATCTTAAGATTTGTCTGCTCAGGCTAGCCTTGAACCCTGAATCTCCAATTTTAGCTTTTTAAGTAGCAAGGATTACAGACATGAGCCCTAGCACCCAGCATCTGTATGCAATTTTAGTTGTCCTGTAAGTCTAATTCTGATCAATAGACATTGGTCTTTTCTTTAATAATACAAAGCAACAAAGGGTGATGGTGTGGCACAGTGTGGCAGTGTCTACTCTATAGTCCAGTGTGCAGGTGGGTGTCTGATCAGAGAAATAGTGACTTCAGTGACATGTCTCCTGTTTCATTTCCTGACTGAAAAAAGTAAAAATTGACTTTTATCTGATAAGCACATCTTAAAATTCCTTCGTGATTAATATTGGGAGACTAACACAAATATTTATTTTAACGTTTTATAGAAAGACATTCAGGAGATCAGATCATCAGCCAGGGCTATGCAGCCTGATCGGCTGCCTGGCTGACACATGGCACATTTTTATGAGCACCCTGACTTCTGCTGCCATTTTGGATCTGCTGGGTCATATCTCCTTGGGCTGGATGCTCAGGGAATGCAAATGAATGTTAATGCTTGCTCCAGCCAAGAACCATCAGCCAAGGCAGAGCTGCAGAAGGAAGCCTGCAGTGCCTTCTGGAGGATTCAGTTCCTCTACTGATCCGTGATTTGAATGGCTCTGACTTGGCTCACCTTGGGAAGTGTGAGTAATGGAATTCAGATTAAATTGCACTGACGGGCTACATACAGCTGGGTATCTAAGTGGCGCGGCGCGGCGTGGCGTGGTATGTACCTGCCGCTGTTTGTGTTCTAAGAACATTGTCCACACACAGATACCATACAACCCACGGTGAATAAAGAAAGACGATTAACCAGCATGTAAAGCCATGAGTGTTCAGATAGTGCAGGATGGGAGAAGGGGAAGCTTTTTTTACACATTTAAAGATTAAAGATACAACTTGGGCAAGCACAACTTGGGCATGCCAGGTGGATGGAGAAGGAACTCACTCATTTGGCCATGTGGGCAAGGGTTTGGGCTCTGCCAGGCTTTCTGAGTTGGGTGGAGAGTTGCGTTGTATGGCTGCAGATGTGATTCATCAACAATGAGGCCCTCAGCTGAGATGTGAGAATTATTACAGACCACAGCATGGGTCAAGGGGGCAGAGAAGAGGCCTGATGACAAAGAGGTGAGCCTTGGCTGGACCTCAGAGGGTGACAGGGCTCAGACAAGCTTCTACCAGGCCAGAAGTGGCAGGTTCAGGCTGTGAGGAATCTGGGTTATGGGAGATGGATGTACTCTGGGGAGGCCTGGGACCCACGTAGGGTCAGGTCCTGGTCTGAGTCACTGCAATGTGTCAACAGGGGTGGTGAGGGCGGCTACCCACTCCCTACAAGGACCTGTGGGCACAGCACTCTTCACACACATGGAAGCCAAACTCTCCTGCCCACAGCTCCCACTGCTTTGGAACTGTCCTACTTCTGGCTCTGTCTGGAAGATAGAACAGTGCCTCATTCTGAAAACTTAGTTGTTAGTCCCGGTACTCTTCATCTTGATACAACCGGAAGTCTCCATCGGAACTGGGCGCTATAGCCAGGGCCCTTTCAATGCTATCACCCCTGATGCACCAAGAGGGGCCTCTAGCCCTAATCAACATACACACATACATGCACACACACATGTACACAGGACATACATGCCACATCCTACCTCGGAGCTTTAGAGGCTGCTCAGAATTCATCAACCAACACAGAACAGCTGGTTTCTGGTCTTTGTCATCATCAGCTCTGCAAATCCAGGGCCTCATTTCTCCTGGCATTGTCAGGTGTCAGCATTCCCACCTGGGCCCCTTGGTCCTGTCCCTGAGCCAGTACTGCACGGAGCCCTGACTGGAGGCTGCTATCTGGGCACAGGGAAGCAGACCCAAGTCTTCCTTTCACCAGACACCCTGACACTGCAACCCGCGCTCGTTCACGCTCATGATTTATTAACTAATTTAGCATGTAAGGAAAACATCTGCATTTTGCTTTTATCATCTCGCCAGCAGACAGGCTGAAGACAAGACGTGTGCTGTAGACTTGTTTAATGGGGCCTTAAACATTCCCTCCCACTTGCCTGAGCTGGCAGGGGCTCTGGTTCCAGACTTTGTCTGATTTAACTGACCTACACAAACAAACATGCAAACAGAGTTCTCACCAACACGTGGGTACTGTAGGGGACAGCTGAAAAGACCCTGAAGTCGGAGCCAGTGAAGCCCCTCACCCCCAGCGTTCCACTTACCAGCACTGGCTTGGAATTGGAGGAATAAAAAGGTCCCTCAGTTATTTAACACTACGGACTGGGCCTGGATCCTCCTGTCTTGTATCCAAAGTTTTAAGATTTGGTCCATAGGTAGGTGAACTTACATTTGCTTTGCACACAACATCAAAGAAAAATGTAGTGAGTTGAACTGTGTCCCCCACAAATGATACAATCAAGTCTTAGCTCCCCGTGCCTGTCGGAGACCCTTAATTTGACCTTATCATTGGAGATACAGTCCTTGCCGACCGAAGGTAGTTAAGATGAGGTCATCCCAGGCTGGGTGACCCAAATCCAGTGTGTGAGAAGAGGCAACGTAGACACAAAGTCAGAGACACGGGGAAGGAAGGAGGCCCCGTGAGGACAGAGGCGGAGCCTACAGTGGTGCCACCACAGGCTGACGGGGAGCAGGGGCGGTCAGAAGACCCCAAAGCTTGCCCGAAGACGATGACTTCAGAGTCATCTGAAAACCTTGCTGGGGTTCCCAGACACTTCTTCAAGAATGCTCCGGGTTGCAGGAAACAGACGAGCTGCCCTTGGCTGTGGGGCTGTCCCTTAGAACACCCACTCTTGTTGTCTGCCTCCACTTCCCCTTTCTGAGATCTTCATGATGTTCGCTCGGCTGCATTTCACTATGGTTATCTTCCCAGAGGACTTTTACTCAGAAGTTTCCTCATGATTTCACCTCCTGAGCGCCATCCCCCCCTTCCCCCCCCCCCCGCCCCCCCCCCCCCCCCCCCCCCCCCCCCGCTGACACATTTTCCCTAGGGAGATAAACCTCATTCCTCTATCCTAAGGGATAAAACAGAGGCTTCTCCGGGTCTCCAGATTTTATGATTTGGGTTGGCAGGCGCTAAGTATGTGCTCCGAGGTCCCCCATTCCTGCCCTCACCTCCTTTTGTCATTCTTGCTAGTTTAATAGTCTGTTTCTGAGCTCTGTGAAGGAAGCTCTGAGGTCAGTCTTGCTCGCTGTGCTGTCCCCAGTTCTCCTCTGGTTCCTGGCCTAGAAAGGGTCTTGATAATTCCTTCTCCCACGAGTGGTGAGCGAGTGTCCCCTCCCCCGCTGCCCGGGGTCAGCTGACCCGTCTCACAGCGCTAGGCAAGCTGGCTCACCCATCCCTGCTCTCAGCAGGAAGGGGGTTTTCAAGAAGACAAATGTTGTTATAGACAAGCTGGAGTCAACCTCTCGCCCCGAGATCTGTTTTGCAATCTATAAAGGGCAGAGGGGATGTCTTGCAAACATCCGTTAGGAGCCAAGAATTTGAACTTATGACTACAGTGGTAGCAACTAGAGTGGGAAATTTGTGTCCCAAGTTATTTCTGCTGAGTTTGGTGCCCACATCTAATCTCTCAGAAGACGCTGGCTCCCAGAGCATGCTTTCTGATGAGGCTGAGCTTTGGTTCTGTGGATGTCAATGGCCTCCTTGAGACCTGTCACCCCCAGACGAAGGCTCTGGCCAGTGGACTCCCTCCCCAGGCTTCCCCAGGCCCCTGGTAGCTTACCACTAAGCGGATGAGGAATGGTGAACTGCTTTTTGCTGGCACGGATGGGAGAGGAGCTCTGTTTCTGCCCCAGCTTCTCCTTCTGCTGGGCTTTTCTCTGCTGGACCATGTGTTCTAGCTTCTTGAGCCGCTCTTGTGAGCGAGAGATGAACTGAGGTTTATGGACCTCCAGTGCTTCCTAATTGAAGTGGGAAAAAAAAGCAAAGAGAAGTAACATCTCCGTCTGATTGGGCCAAGAGAAGCCAATCAAATGGGTGGTACTCAGAGCCCAACAGGCACCTCCCAAAGTTCTCCCATGGCCTGGCACAGAGATGCCACAGATATGTTGATGACGTAGGTCCTGGGGGTCAGTGCGGCCAGCACCACGATGCAACCCCCCACCCACACCGCAGCAGGACCCAGGGGTAACAAGCATGGGGCCTCCTGAGTGAAAACACAAACCTCTGCACATCCATTCTTCTGCCCTGTCAGGCCACAGGTTGCCAACGGACCAAAGCCCAGTGCCCAGCACCCACATCCCAAAGAGACACGGGTGGGGGCAGGATGCAGGGGAGGGAGCGTGGTCGCTTGCTCCCGCTGGAGTGGGATCTTAAGAGGCACGGATGCAGTGTGCTCTCCAGGGTGAACAGTGGGCCTTTGCGGGAGAGACCATGGCTCAAGGAGACCATTTTCCCTCCTGAGAATGAGCTGCAGGGAAATCCTTGCCTCTGCAGAAGGGTTCTGTGGGTGGAGAGCCAAAGTCTCCACATCTCCTTATCAGCCTCGACCCTCCCCTGCGTGCTCCCACGGTTGCTCCTCCAGGTGTCCCCCTGGGTGCTCTTTGGGCACACTTCACCTCTTGGGTTCCCATGGATTCTGGCAGGGGAGTTTATTCCCATTGGGCAGATACAAACCGAGACTCTTGATAGCTTGGTAGATGACACGGGCCTGCGCGTCTCTTGCTTTTCCCTCTCTGCCTTTCACTGTCTTCAGCCCACAGGCTGTCCCTCCCTAGAGGGACATCCCCAGGCCAGCCACTGGCTCAAGTGGCTATCTCCCCATGCACATGGAGCACATGGCACCTCACACTGCCTCAGATGACGGACTCTGTGCTCAGCTGGCCTCCACGTCTCATGGACAGAGCTCTGCCGGCGGTAGGCGCTCAGCACAGGCCACAGGGGGAATGCTCCTAAGCCTCATTCCTCTCCCAGATCTCCAGCAGGCATTGCGCATGCACGCTCGTGCATGCTCCATCTGTGTTATGTGTGCATCCCCAGCAGGGAAAAGCATCTTCTAGGTCAGATAAGTGCCAGCCACCGGGTACTGGGCATTAGGAGGCCTCACCCACTGGTGGTCAGCCGCAGGGGACTCCAGGATTGGAGAGGTGGCCCTTGAGAACGGTCGGCCTGGGTGTTGCTGTGCTTTCTGTGCATATCCCAAGAGAGCCACGGAAGCCAGGATGCTCTGGGGCACCGTGAAGATTTCATTGCGGCCCAGTGAGGCTCAGAAGTGTAGGAGTCAGCAAAGGGAACCATTGCTTGACTTTCAACCAAATGCCTCCCCAGGGGCATGCATGGCTAGCTAAGCAGTGTGTGTGAACAAGAACTTTCTCTGACATTGCTTAGCACCTTATTCCCCCACCCCAGTGTTTTAGAGATTGAACTTAGGGCCTCATGCTGACTAGGCAGGTGTTCTCCAACTTGAGCCACACCTCCATGTCTCCAGACCCTTTTCCTCTTTCTATTGATTATCTTTATTGTTCTATGACAGCCTGGGTTGCGATTCTCCTACTTTTGACCGACGAGACACACTGCACCTTGCCAGTGTGCTTACCCAATAGCCAGAATAACAGACACACACCACCAAACTCGGCCATTGGTTGAGATGGAGTCTTGTGAGTTTCTTTTTGCCTGGACTGGCCTTGAACTGCCCTGATATCCTACCTCTCAAGTACTTAGGATTACAGAGTGGGACCACCACACCTGCTCTTTTATGACTTTAACCACTGTGTGTACGTGACTTCCATAGTTAGGAAGATGTCCATGAAATCTGCCGTGTTCTTCCACTCATAGCCACGAGACCTAGCGCCTTCCTTAATCTCTCAAGGGCTCAGGGTCCCCATCTGACGGAGGCATTCATGAAGATTTCTGCTCGCTACAGGAGCAAAGGGGCTGATGTTACAAAATGTCCTGTGTACCTGGGCATCTGCCTTCCGTCACTGTCACTGTTGGTAGAATTTGATCCTCATTCTAACCTGGTCAATCAGTGAGTGTCATTATGTCCATATTCACACCATGAAACAGAGGCTCAGAAAAGTTAGGGAAGGAAGCCAGAGCACACAGCCATGACAAAGGTGGGAAAGTGAGGTCACAGGCACCCTAACTTCCCAGGACGGACCTCAACACCTTACCTGCAAGGTCATGGGGCTTGTGGGTGTCTGTTGAGGCTCAGAGCCATCTTCCAACAGGTCGGGCGTCTGTGGTCTAGCGGGTTGTACTGGCGAGAGGGGTGCAGATGAGGACTCTGGTGTGCCCCGGTCCTCTTTCTCACATTCTTTTATTCTTACAACTAAGTCACAGCATGTATAATCTCCTAGGAGAGAAGATTTAGAATTCCATTTAGAGGGCACCAAGTGATTTCTTCCTGGCTCCTCAACACCATTAGACACAGGAGACGATTTCGAAAATAGAAACGCCCATGGGTTATTAATGGGCCTCGTTAAGCCGACAAGATCACAACTCATCACAGACTGTCCCGGCTACCCTGGTCACAGGGAGGCACATTCTCAATCAGCCCGGCTCCACGACTGGCTAATTACACCACAGAGGACCTACTTGGCTTCTGATGTTTAGAGCGCCTTAGCTTGAAATGAAACTTCTTTATTTTGCGCTTCATATTAAGTGTGTCCTGTACAATTATTACAGTTCAGTTGTTTCGGGACAGCATATTAATCTCTTGTGTTTGCTACACTAATGATATAAGGACAGAGGACAGTGTGAGATTATTTATACCTCCCTTTAATTTGCCAGAGTCAAGCATTGGCTTTGCATAAGTAATTGGAAGGATTTGTCCCTCTGAGCTACCTGGGCCCCTTCCTGGGGCCATTCTATTGTCTGGAAAATGACAGAGAACAAGTTGATCAGACAGGGCTACCTCTGGGGTTGCAGAGGAGGTTAGTAAGTTTGTTCCCTGGTACCTCCTGACCAAGGCCTTAGCCTGGAACACAAGAGTTGATCCTTCAACTCTCCTGCCCCCATGAACTTTCCTGCCCTCCCCATTGTACCTGCCACACCCCATCCAGTCTCACTACACTTCTTGGCTCTAGACCTACCTGCACAGCATCCTCCTCACTCCACCAACTCCCCTATTTCCACCAAGTCCTTCTGATTCCACTGCCGAGATCAAAAGCTGAGTCTCTAGGTTGCCCCTCCATTCCCAGGACAAGGCCCATCCCTGCCCCTGCCGCGTGCCCACGAGGAAGCAGCCCTTGCCATTTCGGCAGTGTGAGTCCTGAGGTGGGGGGATACCAGGATGTTTTGGCCCCAACCTGTGGCTTTCTCGGGGCTTGTTCCCAGGGGATCCATCGCCCAACATCACACGGCTTAGAGGTTCTCATGTCACTTTCTCAATTGGAAATCATCTTCTGGAGGAGTTTCCCATCAATCAGCCTCCCTTTAGGCATAACCACTAGCCCAGGCTACTAGCTCTACCTCTTATCTTCCAACTTCCCTGCTTTATACCATCACCACCACTGCCATATTGTCCCCATGACCCCCCACCCCCACCCCAAGCATTTTCACAGATCACAGGGAAGCCACACTGTCTTTACACACCTCTCCATCTTTCTCCTCATCACTAGAGTCAGCAAGCCCAGTGCTGGTCTTCTGAGGGCTACACCCAGTAGACTGACTGTTTACTCTCCTTGGTGGCTGGGTCTCAGCCTCATACTGTTTCCTTTCTTTGGAAGGCCAGATTGTCTTTGGGACAGGTGCCTTTAGAACAGATCTGCACTGTCACGCTACCCTTCAATCCTCTGTGTCCTCACACCAGGCTCTACCCACTCCGCTCTGGTCCCCAGCCCTGCCCATGTTGTTCCCAAAGTGCTTTTCCTTCAGCTCTTTGCTTTGTGTCTTGCCCTCAGCCTCCAGGATCCCTTGTCTTCAAGTATTAGGTTTAAGACTCTTAATGCGTTTCAAGTTCCTGTTCAAAACCATTTTGTAGGCAGCTGTCTGTCCAGACCCTCTCAGGGTGCCAGGCTGTCACACGTGGAGTTAGGCGGCTGGCTATATCCTGCACTGTACTGAGAACTCAGGAGGACATACAGCAGGTGCTTAATAGTGGCTTCAGTATGTATTCATGAATACACTCAGGAGGACATACAGCAGGTGCTTAATAGTGGCTTCAGTATGGATTCATGAACACAGCACTTGTGATCAACTTTAGTTTCAAGTGACACTGTTTTTTTGGCAATTACTATAATCATTTTTAATGTTTACAACCCAAAGGTATATAAAATCTGGTAAAACTTCCTGCCCTTTTACAGTTTGCTGAGAAAATCTGTACAGTAGTAGGGAATCTAAATTCTTTTGCTGACGACAGTACCACTCAGTATTTCCTGTGGTATTATTGCATCTTGTATACATCCGTGTTCTGTGTGTTACTCAGGAGCTGGACCTCTAGGGAAATGGTATCTATTTTCTACTCGGTTCCTCCTCCATGAGGGGCTGAGATAAAGATCTGCCTTGTGAACACTGAAACTCCAGAAAGCTCATAGCAAACCTGTGCTGGCCCGTGGGGGCCGTTATCCAAGCCAGTCAGTGACCCGGCCCTCAGCCAGCCTGAGGGGCCGGGAGGTCCAGATCTCCTGCCTTCAGAGCAGTCTACCAGTGCTCAGCCTCAGTGGGCCCTGGCCCAGAGCCCCATAGGGGTGAAAGCCTGTGGCCAATAGGGGCTGCCTTTTAATTCCCTGCAACAGTTTCACCTGCCAACTACCAAAACCAATCCTGTTCCCTCTCCGCTCTGAACACCTCCATGAGGTGAGTTTGTGGGATACCGCCACCGAGAAGACACTGCGCCAAATTCAGATGGTCATCAAGACATAATGGCTTCCACCACCACCCTCGCTCCTTACCTTTGGGGAATTCTCTTCCTATCTGAACACCACTGTCTTCTTGTGGAGAGGAGCATGAGTCTCGGAAGGGACAGAGAAACCCAGGCAAAGGGGCTTTGGGTATCAGGAATCTCGGAGATTGCCTCTCTGTGGGCTCAGAAAGGTCGCTAGACTGACCATCGTCGCTTGGTGAACTGTCCCCATCGGGAGGAGAGTGTTTAAAAGGCTTGTGTTCCACTGAGGGAGCTGACAGTGTCACACGGGATTGTCCTTGCTGTTCCTTGCTGCTTCCAGAAAATACTTTTGTTTCTACTAGAAATAAAATGAGAGTTGTGCTCAAAATATGTGACGAGTCCACAATCTTAAGTTCTGATGTCTATCGGCCTCCACTCTCTCTTAGAGGTAGTCAGTGGGTTGACTACCAAACTTTCAACATGTGGTCTGCATTCCTGAGAAGACGGTCCCAAACCACAGCACCTTTGGCTCTAAAGGGACCATGCTCAGAGGTGGAGTTAGCAACTCACATTAATCCTCTATCAGTAGAGTGGAAAACTTAGCACCTTGACTCTGGGGCCAGGGTATCTGGGTTCAAATCCGACTCCCACCACTATAAGCTTTACTAGGTGAGATAGTAATGAGTTCACCACACCATATATTATTCATTTACTTTTGTATATTTTACATAATTGTCTTCATTATAGTTTATATCTCAAAAAGAATTTAAATTATCACTGTTAAGATCAAATATTCAAACTTAGGTAATAACAGAGTATGATAATAATGCATAAAATGTGCTAGTATATAGTATACTTAATGAACCTTAGTTAGCATTATTGTTGCAGAAGTACCAACAGCCAGAGAAGGCAAGCACAGAGGTAGGAAACAATCTATCAGGTCACTGTGCACAGCTCTACGGGCAAGTGAAATGTGTTGCTAGTTTCCACCTTATGTCCATTAACAGGGGGCGAGGGAAGTAAATATGAACACCTATGCTCTGCAAGCGTTCAAAGGAAGGAGCAGCAGCTCTTGTGTGAATGAGGAATAATCAAGTGATATTGTTAAGTGAACAAAGCAGGATTGGGGCTTTGCTTTTTCCATATGCCTACACATGCAGAAGCTCTGCAGAGGGCCCTGGTGGCGGCCACTGCCTCGGGAGAGGGCAATGCAGGACAGGAAGTGGAGGAGCAGAGACTTTCTCTTCATTGCCTGTTTTAGACACTTTACCCCATGTCTGGGCAGGGGCCGCTGCTGCCAGTGGCATAAATACATCATAGCCGTTCTGCGTGTTAACACAGGAAAAGAAGACTGGTGAGCTGTTGGATAATAACAACTGTTACAAGATTCTTGCTCTGGTTTCTCAAATGTTTACTATGTAAGAAAAAGGAACACACGCATGACTGCCAGCTTTGAGAAGAGCAGCCACGTTCTGATATCTGCTCCTCCCCTCTGTCCCTGGGGCCTCTGGGGTCCTAGCCAAAGAGAATGGTTGAGTATGGGGTACGCAGCAATGACTTCAGATCCTGCTCTGCAGAATCTACCTCTTGACGATGGGATGCAGCCCAGGGGAGTCAATTCCCTTGTTCCCCATTCACCAAGAGCATGAATTCAGTGTCCCATGTTCTTGTGAACAAACAAAACACAGGTGAAGTTCTAACCAGGGTCCAGGGCTTCCCACACTGGAAGTTCTGTCTACACAAAGGGGCATGTGTTACTAAGCCCTTATTGCTTGGCAAGGCTTGTTTACTTATTATAAACTTGGACTTCACTAAATCTTACAGAAAAATCTTTCCAAACTTCTATCTCAAGCATCGTCAGTGATGTCTAAGTATAAAATATTATAGGACAGTTTGACAACATGAATACCAGGGGTGGGGAGGGGTTATACAAAAGGAGAGAGGAAGGGTGGGTGAGTACAGTCATTATATTCAATGTACAAATGTGGAAATGGAGCCTTGTAATGAGGGTGTGAGTGGTGTTGGAAAAGATGGGGAAGAATGACACATGGGGTGACATTGGTCAGGACACAATGAACCCAAGCCTGGCTTGATGGGTTGAAAAAGAACATTATGGTCAACGTTCTAAAATAGTCCTTCTTTTTAACATGATATGGATTTTAATTAAAAACTCCCACAAAGATTCAAAAACGAAATTGGTTATTAATCCAGTTTACATGCGCCTTGGTATTAGGTTCATCTATATCTATACCTATAGATATTCTTGGAGAATGATCAACCCATATATCTTTTCTTCCATTTTCAACTAAGGTCTACCTGTCTCTACCTGGTATGATGGAAATTCTCAGTAAATAATAATGTGGGGGTCCGATGTTTCACTTCGGTCTGATAGCAGAGTGCAGTCACTGTACTAGAGGAAAGAAGAGGGACTCTGACAGCTCCTGGATCAAGTCTCTTTCTGTGAATGCTGATGCAGCACCACTGGCCACCAAGGTGGCCCTGGGCAGGCAAGGTAACCAACTCACCCCCACGAGGCCCCAGGGCCGCCCCAGACTCTGCACATCCCAAGAAGCACAGAAAAGCAGCAGCCTATGCCAGGCATGTGTGTGAGCCTCCTTCCCAGGTCTGGGGCATGAAGAGGCTGGGACACTACAAATGTCCTTCCAAGGGAAGGAAATTTCTTTGACTAGTATTCATCTTGTCTACTATTGGTTGATATTTCAGAGCTCAACTGTCCATCACACTAGAGCTGTGCCACCGAAAGTGAACAAAGAACACAAAGCCTGCCCCACGGTGACGCGGGATCCCGGGATGAAGAGGAGCTTTGGGCACTACACAATGCCTACTAATCCTTCTCTCAAGTCCATGCCCTTGCGATGTACGACATCCACAATGTAAAGCTGCTGTTCAGATGACCCGCCACGCTGCCCCTCGGGGCCACCCGCCTCCAGTGTCCTCTTGTCCCCTCCTGGATGACATCTACTCTCCACCCAGATGTGGTACACCTGAGCGGTGAGCACCTCCAAACACTGCTTTTGTCTGTACTTTTCTCCCTCACCAACATGCCCTCACTACCTGAATAGCCAGCTCTTCTCCATGTGGCATTTTGCCCACTTGGCAGAAGCTTCTAGAGAGAATTCAACAGTCTTAGGGGGACCACCATTTCACTGACAGCGTATGGGATAGGGTTGTAGGGCAGCTGTGTCTAGAGCAGCAGGTACGGGCCCAGGGCATGGAGCTGGGCTGTGGTGGGGAAGCCGCTGACCCGCTGAGGTGGGGGAATGGGCTGCTCTGCTCTTTCTGGTTCTCACCTGAGCCTGTTTGACAATAGATCTTACTGGTTCTATTTGTTGCTACCCTAAGTAGCCCAGGCTGTCCCCCATCTCCACACCTTCCACCAGCAGTGGGTGTCTGCAACTTAGAGCAAGCTCATTCACTTGCCCTTCCTCCTTTGCCTGTGGGGTCTCATCTAGAAAACTCTAGAACAATAGCATCTAACTAGGCCTGTGAATGGCCATGCCTGCAGAACTGGACACTTGTACACGTTCTTCTCTCTCTCTCTCGCTCTTGCCCTCACTGTCTCCCTCTCTCAGTAGGATTTTCTACTTCCCCTTCAGTCCCTGGGTCATGAGAGTCTGCTGCTCGGAGCACAGAGAGCAGCCCTCTATGCAAGGTCCACTGATCAATGGGCATAGAAGAGGACATAGAAGAGAGAGGAAAAGGCCAAGATAATGGTTGTTCTAGAAGGGCATTACTTCCCCCAGTACGTCTTGTTTGCTTTATTATTTTCCTTTCAAAGAAGGGAGAAAACCTACAGCTATCTTCAATTACAACACACAGAAAATGGAATAAAAGACAGTGGAGCTGGCCTGTGGCCTCTGAGAAACAAGGGAGCAGAAACAAAGAACAAGTCTTCTCCTTGAGCAGGGGCAGTGGGTGTGTTCCTGCCCCCTCTTTCTCTCTCTCCTGTCTCTGTCTGCCTCTGTCTGTCTCTGTCTCTTTCTCGGTCTGTCCCTCTGTCTCTTCTCTCTCTCTCTTTTTAAACTTGGGAAGGCTTCATCTTCCAGCTGTGGGTTAAACAATTTCCTCATGTGAAAATGGGTCTGCCTCTGATACCACTGCCTGTTGTCCCATGCAGACTTCTGTTTAAAATCAGACAGTGATTGTTTCAGTGTATCTCTGCTCAGTCTCTAAATGGTGACACCGCAGCTCAGAGTGGAGGAGGCAGATAACAAATGGGATAAGAAGCTCCAGACAGAGGAGGAGGATGTCTTCAGCAGGGCTTCCAGCCGGTCCCTAACACAGTCCTCCATATGAGCACGGTGCGCCACCCGGACGAGGAGGGACAAATCAGAAGTGCAAGGGCTGAGCCACATAAGGGGAAGAGACAGCAGCTGGGACACAGGCTGGGAAGGATGGAGAGGCCCGGGAAGAGGCACACAGTAAGGGGAGGCCCTCCCTTGTTGGAAACGAGACTTCCTGCAGATTCCAGACCTTTTCAGACAGTGGACAGGTTTCTTCTATAAACGCCAACCGTCGGCCTTCCTTCCTAAAGAAAGAGGCCCAAGGGGGAGGGGGAGGGGCTAGTGGCCAAGACACAAGGCATGAGGCCACGGGAGACGGGTGAGGAAGCCAGGGCCAGTGGCCGGGCAGGGACAGCTGCTGTTGGAATGTCAACGTGGCCGCAAGGGGATAAGTGTACAAGTCCGGCGATGAGCAGCACTGTGTGACCACTGCATCACAAGAAAAGGAAATAACCGCATGGTGTGCAACCCGTGCCAGCCTCGGGTTTCAGGACACCATGTGGGAAAGTGCACTCAGTTCCAGCAAGATTCATTCATGCCGTTCCTACCGAGCCGGAGCACAGATCCCCCGCCCGGGAGAGCCAGGAAGGATCCAGGATAACTACCCAGAGCTGTTTCTCCAATTATGTCATAACCCTGGAGGGCCGGGAGATTTATGAACATGGCTCTAAAACACACAAAAGGCAGAAATCTCTCTCCCCCCTTTTTTTCTTTCTCTTTCCCCTCTCTTCTATCTCTCTGTCTTTCTGTCTCATTTACACACACATACACACACACACACACACACACACACACACACACACCTGTTTCCTAACCACAGAAGTACAAAGAATGATCCAGACACCCAAGTTCTGGTTAACTATTAAATCACATCCTTCTCCCTTCCACTCAGGAAATATTCTTACCTCACCAGCTTCCCACAATGCTTTATCCCAAAGCGTGACTCAGATCCCAAAGCACACAGGAAAAGAACATTTAAAGCATTTCTTAAAACGTAGCCACATTTGAAGGGGTATTTATAGGTTTCAGTTAGATAGAGTTCCATTAAATGAAA